GGGGGCTCGCTGGGAGGAGACTCGGGCGCGAGCACGCACCTCCCGCCGCTGCTCGGCGCTGGCGGGCCCTGGTTGGGGTTTCTGGGTTGCGGAGCCCGGCGCTGCGGCCGCCTGGCTGGCTGGAAAGAAGGAGGGTGGGAGGGAACGCGCCTCGCGGGGCTTCGTTTGCCCGCCTTCCACCCCCGCCGCGGATTTCTGTACCTTGGGGCGGACTCGGAGAACGCGCGCTTGTGGGCACAGCCGGTTTGGTTTCCGCTCGCCAATCCGGAGCCCGGCGATGGCCACAGAGCTTTTCTCCCCTCGGGTTCTGCCCGCCTCTGGAGAGTGCTGGCTTGGCGGGCCAGCCCACTCGGCACAAAAGCCCCAGAGGGCCTCCGCCCCCTTCTTCCATTCCTAAGATGGCAAATCCAAACAGTTGCTCTGTTGGCCGAGTTTCTCCATAGGAGGTTCCACTTACTTTTGCTCTTTTTGGCCGCTCCTCTATGCCCAGGAGACAAATTTCTTCTGACCTAGAAAAAAGAAAGAAAAAGAAAAGAAAAAGCTCTTTTGACTCCTCTTTCTCAGCTTCACAGAGCACTCAGAGGGGGAGTGGGGGGAGCTCAGCCTGCTGTTTGTTCTGTGGACTGAGGATGTTGCACTTAAGGGCCCCTTCTTTTCTAGTTTCAGATTTGTGGAACACATCTAGAGCTTCATCCAGAAAATTCAACTGGAAAACTTTAAGACTGGCAGACTCTCTTTTCTTCAGAAAATAGACAAAAGCCAGACAGAAACCAGGGATTCTTGGAACACCTGATTTCCCATTGGAGGACACTAAATTCTTTTGGAAGACAAAGACAGTTCAGTATGGCAGCAGGACTGAAAGGACATCAAGGAGCCATTACTGTGATTTGGTGACAGTTCTTCAAACGACAGTGTCTTAAGAAAAGCTGGATCAAGGAACTCCTGAACTATTGGGTTCATTAATTGAAAAAAATCAGCATGGCTCAGGTAAAAAGCTCTAGAGTCCTCCTTCAAGATCATTCACTGGGAAGCCTGTTTGCAGTGTCACTCTTGAATGCTGCCTTAGTCAACTATATTGACCAACCCCAGTGAGCCAAGCTCTGTATTAAACACCAGGGGGAGATCTAGAGGAAAGAAAGGAGACAGGCCACAGCCCCTGCCTTCAGGGAGCTTCCAGTCAAATGAAGGAGGTAGGCTATACTACATCTTAGGCATTGATGGGACATTTGCAAAGCAAAATGTACTGGTGTACATTTGGTACATTAAGTGCTGAGGGGCATGAAGGAGTGAATAGACTGGTGAATGCTTCTCTTGTTGTTGTCTTTTCAACAGAAATTTATTGAGCTCCTTTTATTTATTATATGTAAGGCATTGTGTGTTGTGAATACAAAAAGGAATAAGATTGTCCTTGTCCCCAGCAAGCTTCCAGGCTAGTGGGGGAGTGGGGCAGGGGTTAGAAAGATGGTCTGTTATTTATATTCACAATGCCTTGCATAATGGCTGGCTAGTACTATAGAGTCAATATTTTAATAGAAGAAATGTTCAATAGCAGAGGTGTGTACACTGCAGTGATATTTCTGTCTGGTTGGAAATGAAGCTTGAAGGATTTTGGCAGATAAACAAGAGAAGGCCATTCAGACAAGTGGAAGTGTGTGAACAGAGGCTTAGTAAGCATGGGGGAATGTAATGAGAGTCAGGGCACTACAAGTTTGATAAAATACAAAAAAATTAAATGGAGATTGTAATAATGTATGGGGAGTTCTTTCCTGAAGTCAGTAGACTGTGACCCAAGGGCCTTTTATACGTTGCTAAAGAATTAAAACTATTCTCTAGTGAATGGAGACTCCCTAAACAATGTTAAGCAGCAGGGTAATGTCAAATCAATGTATTTAGAAGATTATTGTCATTGTTGGAGTGGCAGATGTATTGGAAGGACAAAGTGACCAGATTGCTGTTACAGTCATCTGAGTGGAAAAGATTAAGTGCACACATCTCCTGAGCTTCTCAGAGCTTTCTTCAGGGAACCTCCCCTTCCAGTCTCACCAGGATGGCAGCCTGATTATACTGTAATTGGCTTTCTTCCAGCTGCTTCTGCATGCACAGCTTCCTCCTCTCCATGCAGAGTTAGAAACCCTTCGGTTTCTTCTTCCTTTGTTTGCAGCCCACTCCACAGCAATGTGTTCAGTCCTGTTCTGAAAAGGCCGCCTCTGCTAACTAGTAACTTAGTGCTGGACACAGCTAAACCTTTTACATCATACTTTAGTTCTCATAGACCTTGTGAGGGTAGATACTACAATAGGCATTGTGTATTTAAGTAAATTGCTCAAGATTACATAGCACAAACAGCACAGTTCAGATTAAACTCCAGATCTGCTACTCCAAAGTCCCTGAAAGTGGTCCCAAAATAAACTGATCATTCGAAAAGGTATTCATAAAAAGGTTTTCTTCAGGGTGTGTGTGTGTGTGTGTGTGTGTGTGTGTGTGTGTCAGTGTGTGTGTGTGTGTCAGTGTGTGTGTGTGTGTGTGTCAGTGTGTGTGTGTGTGTGTGTCAGTGTGTGTGCGTCAGTGTGTGTGCGCGTCAGTGTCAGTGTTGGGGGCTCACTCCTGTAATCCTAACTATTCAGGAGGCTGAGATCTGAGGATTGTGTTTTAAAGTCAGCCTAGGCAAGAAAGTTTGTGAGACTTTTATCTCCATTTAACGAGCAAAATGCTGGAAGTAGAGGTAAGGCTCAGGTCGTAGAGTGCCAACCATGAGCAAAAAAGCCAAGTGAAAGCCTCAGGCCCCAAATTCAAGCCCCAGTACCAATCAATACCTCCCCCCAAAAAAAGTGTATATTCGTGAGTCCTGACTAAACAAAGTCAGTTCCAAGAATAGAGCGGTGAAAAGAGGTTATTTGTTTGTTTTGGTTTTTTTGGGGTCCGGTCGTGGGGCCTGAACTCTGGGCCTGGGCGCTGTCCCTCAGCTCTTCAGCTCAAGGCGAGTGCTCTACCACTTGAGCCACAGTGCCACT